CAGGATCGGTGCAGATCGCATCCCGCACTCGCCAGGAGGAGGTACCCACCGATCCTGGGCCCAGGATGAGCCTGGCCAGGACCGGTGCGCTGGGGAGCAAGCATACTCTCCCAGAGTTGCGCGACGATTTCGCGGACCGGCGCCGGACTCGCCTCCCTGGCGTGCGAGGCGCGCCGGGGGTGGCGCCGGAGGCGGCGCGCCGGAGGGGGCCCCGGCGCGGAGCCGAGAGATCGGCGCGGGCCTCCGAAGGGTTGCGTCCGTGCCACTGGTTGTGTGTTTCCCAGGCGCAGGTGTGCACACCTGGCCTTTCGGGAGGTGCTCGGGGGCGGCAAAGAGGGGGGCGATGGCCAGGGGGGGGGGGATATCATGGCTGGGTGGCGGGGGCCATAATATTTCTCCGGATTTCATGGCGCCTCTTCTTGTTTCACTGCGTCCCTGGCCCTCCCGCTGGGCCGCGCACATGCCGCCTGTCATGATTTGCACCCCCCCTCTTGGACACCCCCCTCTTGGCCGCTCCCGAGGTGCGCTCTCGGTGAGCGGGGGGTGGGGAACAGGAGCAGGAGCAGGCCATCCCACGTAGTCTTAAGTCGGGCCTGTCCCCCTACAGGGAGGTCTCCGACGAAAAATAAAGAATACCCCAAACATAGTCTAAACATAGTCTGGGGACTACTTTTGAGCATTCTTTGACCATGTTGGGATATTTTTCTGGTATCTTCGATTTTTCGTAGAAAATCCCCCTGTAGGGGGACAGGCCCGACCTAAACGTAGTGGTTGGAGAAGCTTCAGACGACTAGGCGACTGCATCTCTGTTTGACTCATTGCCCTGGGCCATAAGCCAGAATCCAGACGGTTCAAGTATACCCGTCTGTGCGGCGCAATCTTCTCTGTGCATGGTTCCTCCAGCTCACGCATAGACGCATGAGCGTAGAAACGACGCTCCTGACAAAACCAAAGATTATGGGCTCTCTGGAGCCGCATCTTGTGAGACACATGTTCGGTGAGTAGGGGGGCGCCCATCCGAGGCAGGGACGCGCGGCTGCTGGTCTGGCGGGGCGAGGCCGCGGCCGACGGCTCGGTGCTGCTCGCGAAGGCGCCCCCGCCGCAAAGCCCCAGCGGCGACGACGCTGGTGCAGTCAACCCGCATAGTGAGGATGGGCAACCTTCCCCAAGGGTACACTCGCATCCTTGCCTCCTCGGTCCATCATTGGCTGCTTTTGCTGGACGCCCCCCGCCCGCGAGGTGTCGGGGCATAGCGTCCCAGGGCCACTGTATCCTTCCCGTGCGTCCTTACTGTACGGGCTGACTGTCGTAATCTGTCTTCACGAGGCAGTAGCGTCGAGTGGCGCCTGGCAATCCGTGTGATATCGCCGGTATGGCGTCGATTAGCGTTGATTGGCGTCGTTTCGCAAGAGCCAACACGATGGTATGGGAGGCTCCCATGAGTTGCCGTCGAAGTCGCTGTCGCCGCGTCACCGCCGCTCGTCGTCGTCGTCGTCGTCGGTCGAGGCTCGAACGAGGCTCAAGCCCATATCTCCGACGATATGATTTGGTGAATCCCAGCGTTTTTCTTCGATTTCGGCCTCTGGAGGCTGTTATCGGGCCCAGGGGCCATCAAAAACGGATCCGGTACAAAAAGCGGGACCTCCCATTATGAGGGTTCGTCAAAAATCATATCAGCGGATGTTAGGGTATCCGAGCGCCACCACCGTCGCCGCTGGTCGAGGCTCGAAATCTGATCGGTCGATCGAGGCAGTGGTGGGAGTGGTGGGAAGGGAGCGGTGTGCAATTTCCGGCTTCAAGTTTGCCGCTTGCCGTCGTGTGGTTCAGCAGGTCATGGGATGCCAGATGGTGGCCATGGTGACGACAATGGCTCTCGTGCCGAAGTCTCACATGAGTCGCGCGGGTCGTCTCACGCGGCGTAGCACAGCACACCGTGTTGCAAAGCAAAGCATACCGCAGTATGCCACCCCAGCGCGTAGCAGACGTGTCAGAATACAGTTAGTATACACTTCATGGATTCATCCTGTTTGAGCCCCTTGGGGCCTCTGGGGGGCTCCTTTGTGGTCACGGCTGGGTGCGCAACGATCTTCTGGCCAGACTGCACAGATCGGGAGTTCCACCTCGTCGTCGCCGTCGTTCGTTCGAGGATCGATCGCAGATCGAGTGACCGACCTTCCATAATACATGTGGGATGAGACACTGCCCCTAGGGATGGAGTCGAGACTTCTTCGTCGCCGCCGCTGTCGTCGTCTTCCTGCTTTCGGGGAGGGGGAGGTGCGTCGCCACGGCCGCGCGCGTCTTGACGAACGGGCCAGGATGGAATGGACCGCCATTTCCTCCTCCTCCTCCTCCTCCTCCTCCTCTTTCTCCTCCTCCCCCTCCCCCCATTCCGTGCTTCCATCTCTACTGTGTGATTCAGACTTATTCGATTCGGAGCTACTCGCACTCAGCGTCTCATACTCGGAATTGCTCCTACTTCGGTTGCCTCTTACTCGGCCTCAGGCATATTTCGATGGCCTCATATTTTGTCATTTCTCAGACTTACCTAAACTCAAGCTCAGTCATACGGCCCTCAATCTTCCCAAGGGGGAGACGGGGAGACGCTCGAGGGTGCGACACGGGCCCGTTCGCGCCCAGACCTCTCAGGCGAAACGCCGTTTTTTGAAAGTCGGCGCGTCTGTTCTCACAGATCAGCGACCGCCGCGACGTGACAGGCGTGGCACTTGGGCCTCACAAAAGGGGTAGCCCGAACGAGCCAGAGTGCAACAGGGGTCGTTCCCTGGAGCGAAGGACCACCTCACTCACGACCTGCTCCTCCTCCCCCGCCTCGGTCAGTGGCGCTGGTCCTCGAACGCAGCAGTCACGGAGATGGTGACGATCCGAAAGGCCCCAAAGAGTTTCCCGGCGCGAAGGCCCATAGGACCAGGGGAGCGAGCCCAAGCCAATGTGGAAGCGGCACGCGCCCGCCTACATGGGCAGGACACACCGAAGAGGCACTGGCTCAGGGATTCGCGAACGTCATGGATGGAGCGGAAAAAGAGCTGGCGGCGAACTGCCACATCGAAAACGAAGGAGTTCCCAAATGTAAAAGTCGAGGGCGTGAACCGAAGTTCGTGCATATCCACCCGTACCGCAAGAACGACGCCGCCGTGGCCAGACCACCACAAGAAACGAGAGAGACACGATGGCTGGTGGCCAGGCCCGACGAGCTCAGCAAGGCGCTCGGGAAGGGCATCGCTTGCAACTGGATAGCTGCGGTGACGGTCTACAAACTGCTCGGCAGCTGGAAAGGATCGATCAAGCGCGCGTGAGGCTGGCAGCACTTTAAGAAGCATTTGAACGACTACGCTGAAATGGGGCTGACGACATAAGAGCGTTGGCAGAGAAGGCGAATAATAGTGGCATCCGCATCGCCAGTCTCTTCGAAACTGCGACCAGCAATTCGTTCGACGCGTGGGGCAATTTACCACGGACGATATTTTGTCCTGACGCACAGATGGACAAGAGGCCCAAGGGGGGTGCTAATGGGGTTTTCTCCAACGGAACGGCTGCGAACATCCAGGACGCAGCAGACAAGTTCTGCAAGGAACGGCTGCAGCAACTTTGGAATGCGCGCGATCCAGGGCCGACTGCAAGACGGCACCGGGTCCAAATGTCCGATTTGGCCCAGCCTACCGCAACGCAGTTGAGAAAGGCGAGCAGGAGCTTCGATCGGAAGGTTTTCCTTGGGATCGTTTCCTTCCGCCCCGAGTGGCTCACGCAGCTGTTTGACGACGCCCTCGATCTCCTGGGCTGGCTTCTGGCGGCCGTTGAGCGGTAGGGCGAGATGCCGAAACAATTGGCAACGATCATCGTGTTCCTGACCAATGCGGAAGGAAACGCGAGGCCCATCGCCCACCTAGGCAGCTTCCTTAGAGTCTGGGCCAACGTACGACGGGTCTGGATACAGGCGGGGTGAAGCGAGCACGACGTATTTTGATTCCACAACGCGAGTGGTCGCATGGCCGAATGCGCAGTACGGAGCCAAGCGGTGCACCAGAAGTGGGGCTCGAGTGTCGGCGCGCTCACTTCGTCGGAGCACATGGAAATGACCGGGGCGCAGGGGAAGATCGGAAACGGCAGGCTGTGGGAAGAAGCCGGGGGCTGCAACGGCAACCTAGTCTGTTCCAGGTTGAAGGCTCACCAAAGGATCGGCCGGACAGGCAACGGAGCCATCGAGAGGAGGCTTGCCCTTGGTAACAAGGCGGCGGACATAGAGGCTAAGGGGCCAAATGCCGCCCAAAGAGCTGACACTACGGGGTGGCGAGGCACGCGCAGCAGGTCGAGACGATCAAGTAGATGGCACGGTGGGTCGGCCGAGCGTGCGCGATAGCGATCGGCGAGCCGAGGATCAGCGCGGGCAGGCAGATCAATGCGAAGCGAATAACTTAGAACGGCAAAGAGGCCAAGTGCGGAAGGAGCTCGCGGCGAGATCGGAGACCGAAGTAAGGTCGGGCTACCAGGGGCGCATCGGAGATGGCGCCAGTGACGGGCCCAGCCACATCGGGCGGACGCCGCGCGTCCACGCGGTGCGCAGATCCATCCCAGAACAGTCAGTCGAACTCACGCACTGCGACTGCGCGCGCAGACGCGGTCGAGAATGTGGTTCGACGACGCGGGGGGCGAGGAGTTCACTGACCAGGAGAATTGGGTCGAATGGCGCGTGGCGCACCTGCGCGAAGTATTGACAATGCAGCGCGGCAGCCTGAGGAGGCACTTCGCCGCGCCCAACCCGAGCGAGCGCTTCGACGACTCCTCAGAGGGGCAGCGCAGAAAGCAGTCGACATGGGCAGCACCGAGCAGGGTGCGATTCGTCAAACCGACGCACAACTCTGTGGAAGAGTTAAGACGAGCCCATGTCGGGTTCCACAGGGAGCAGGCGCGCGAGCTTCGGCGGCAGTTCCGGGATGCACTTGCCCAGCGGGCACCAGACGCAGCCCGACCGCGCGCCCGGCGGAGGGTCGCGAGCGGGGCCAAGCGGCGCCGCAGTTGCGGCGGCACAGGGGGGCGCCGCGACGGCGGCCGCCAGTTGCGAGCAAGGGCCGACATCGTCGAAGAGGGCCAGGAACAATGAGCGCGAAGAAGAGGACGCGGTAAGCGAGCAATGGGGCGACCAGCTAGTGAGCCAGCCTGCGAAGAGGCCCAACGTTGGCAAGGAGGCGCAAGGGAGGAGGAAAATCACATGGGCACACCGGGCGAGGCAACTGCGAGCGCGCGAATGGCCGAAGCAATGGCGGCGGCAGAGCGAGCAGCCAGCGGCGAAGGACGCGGGCGCACTGCGACTGACGTAGCGGATGGGGAAGGCGAGCGCGAGCTCGCGCCCGAAGAGGTCGCCCCGCCGCTGTTCGCGCCAGACGGTGCCAGCCCCGAAAGGGGGGGTAAGACCGCGCTGAGACAGGCCACGGCGTCTGGGCAACGGGGCGGAGCGAAGCTGCTGTCGCGAAGACATGCGCCGGGAGGTCTTAGTCCGAGGGCGAGCTGGCGTCAGAACTATGCCAAACGCATCCACTCGCGGCCCAATCGGCCCACCGAAGCCACGACCTGAAGGCGGCAATCGCCGTGGTCTGCTGCAGCGGGCGCGCCGCGACGACCACGCGCGGGCCGACTATGACGGGCCCAAGGTTGCCGGGAGAAGCCCAGCCAGAAAGCACGCGACGACGAGGCTAAACAACATGAGGGAGCGCCATCACCCGGTGACCCACTAGTTCGCGGGCGAGCCCATCCAGTCTGCGAAACAGCGCGCCAGATGCGGCAAACGCAGCTGGCGTGGCCCCGCTCGCTGGGGCGCCAATAGCAGACGCTTGCGATGGTGTGGCCGCGCCCTATACGGGCCACCGGAAGCAGACGCGAACGCGGTTGGCGCGGCGCCGCCCCTCGGGTCGCCGGAGGCAAGTGCGCGCGACGGACTGGACCGGCGAACTGGGTCACCAGAAGCAGATGCGCGTGCGGCCGGTGCGGCCCCGCTCCCCAGGAGGCCAGCAAAGGGCGCGGCCCCGCTCTTCGGGTCGCCCGGGGCCGAGGCCCAGCCCGGCGCGGCCCAGCCCGCCGGGTCGCCATTGAGGGCGGGGCCTCGCCCTTCGAGGCCCCGCCGAAGACGAGGGGCGCCGACGCTGGTCTGGCCCCGCTCCTCGGTTTTCAGGACGAAGTTATGCCGCGACTGGTCTGGCTCCGCTCCTTGAGGGGCCAGGGCGCAGGCCAGGGCCGACCCGCGGGGAAACCATGGGACCCTCGGCAGAAACGACGTTGCGCGCGTCTTCGGCGGAGCCGCGGGGCGTCGGGGAAACCAGCGAAGAGGACGACCAACCCCGTGGGGAGGCGCCCGAAACCGTTCATGGACTTGATACGGCACGATATGATAGTCCAACCGAATTCGACAGTGACGACCTGAAGGAACTCGTCGGATTGAAAGGCATTCCTGAGGGATGTCTGACGGGGTCGGCCCCGTCCCGCCCGCCGCGGGCGCGACGCGGTGGACCGCCGCTTCGAGGCGCGCGGGCACAGACCGTCCGCCTCGCAGGCTGCTCGTGCTCTTCTTCCTCTTCGTGAGTTTCAGCCGATGTATATTTCACGAGAGATCGGGCTTGCGAGAGAGGGGGTCTCGATTGCAGCACGCGTTCACTTTTCACACGGATCATCCGCGGCCCTCGTGCGCACAGCATGGTCAGAATACCCTTCTCTTCCTTAGCCGCCTTCTCCCCCCGCTAATCCCACTGCTCTTTCGTCCCCCTCTTCTCTGCTAAGTGTAGGCGGTCGAGCACGTGGCTTGCGCCTCCTGTTTTCGGCCGACCTCTCGTACCACTCCTTTTACTCGCCCGGTCCTTTTCCACCACCTCGTCCTCCTCCTCCTCCTTCTCGCCCTCCTCCTCCTGCTCCTGCTCCTCCTCCTCCTCCTCCTTCTCCTCCTCCTCTCCCTCATCGCCACCATCATCACCATCCTTCTCATGATCCTTCCTCCTCCAAATCTTTCCCCCTCCCCACAAGGACAACGAAGTGGTGCATGCCGTTGCCACCACCGCCATAGTCTTCCACGAGGAGTCCAAGTGGCTGTTCTGCGGGCTTGCCGACGGCCAGATCAAGGCATATTGCGAGCAGCCTCTGATCCAGTCGACGATGCAAGGGCACCAGGGCCAGGTCCCCCTTGAATTCTCTTTCGTGCTGGTCTCAGCTAATCCTCAAGATGGTTGACCGCGAGCGCGGGCTGCTTTTCGTTCTGTCGAGAAAATGGCAGACCAGGGTTTCGGGGAGCGCATATCGAACCGACGCATGCCTTTGTGCTTCGGAGCCGCCCAGATATGAGTTCTGCCATGTCCGCGGCTGGACCGCTGAACGAGCAGATCACAGTATGGAGGGCAGCATCTCAGAAGAAGGAGAGGGCGGATGGAGAGGGGAGGAAGACAAGCTAGGGGCGCCTGCGCCTCATCTGACATCCGATCCCTCCCTCCCATCCCTTCCCAGCGCGCTGACTGTCCATTCGCCACAGACGCGTGTCGTAGCCGACCTGGGACTCCCACTAAAAGACCAGTTCGTGGTATGCGCAATCGGAAACATGGAAGTTGCGCGCACAGGTAACCAGGGGGAGGCGGAGGAGGGAAAAAGGGGGCGACAACGTTGAAGAAAGGTTTGTATTCGGAAAAGTGGCCGCGCGTGGGCGATACGAACAGCAGAAACAGGAATCGGAGTGGAAGGAGCAGGAGGAACAGGAGGACCAGAGGCAGGCGGAAGAGGGCGAAGGATGGGGGGGGGGAACCACGATGAAGCAAGACTCGGATCTAGAAAAGTGGCCCGCGCTGATGAGAGAGCGCCATTCTGAACGACGGGAGTGAAGCGCGGATCCAGGAATATTCCCATGCTGCAGCGGGAGTGTCACTTTCAAGCACCGAAAACAATCGGACTGTTTAAACATGAAAACATACGAAACACAATGTGTGAGTTCCTGCGTAAAAGGAGAGACAGCACGCGGAAGGGGTGGGAGATCTTCTTGGCACTTCAGGGGAGGAGGGGGGGAGTACTCATATTGTTAAAGTGTGGAGAGAAGGGGGGGGAGGAGGGAGGAGTCCGAGCGAAGGGGAGGCAGAGAGAGGCCGGGGGGGGGAGGTAGAGATTTGGGAGAGGGGAAGGGCCCTTCTCCTCGAGGCAACCCTCCCCTCCTCATCGCTCCTCATCATCGCCACCCTTTCTCTTCGAGGTCGCCTCCCTTCCTCGAGGCATCACCCCATCCACCCTCTCCTCCTCGAGGCCTCTCCCTCCTCCTCAAGGCTTCCTCCTCTGCGAGGCCACCTCCTCCAGACCTCCTCCTCCTCCTCCTCCTCCTCCTCCTCCTCCTCCTCCTCCTCCTCCTCCTCTCCCCTCATCCCTTCTGCCCCCCCCCTTCGTCCCCCTCCGCCCTCCTCCCTTCCTCCCGCGAGGGCCCTTCGGCCCCGCTCATGCAGTGAAGATCCATAGCAAGGACGGGTAGCCTTCCCAAGGGCACCCTTGCGTCCTTGGATTTGTTCGGCAGGGCGCCGCTAGAGAAGCTTCAACTGGGGCGTCCGAGGATCGTCCAAGGGTCTTGCGTCCTTACAGCGCGTCCTTACTACTGACCCAGACCTCCGACGCCATGCTTTTATCAATGCGGAGTCCCTGGAAGTTCCGACCCCTTCCCAGGGACTGGTTTCTCATCTTGGATTGTGTGTTGACGGTCCCAAGGCCCGGCGAAGGCCCCCGGAGGCCAAAAATAGCGAATATATTCCCGTCGTGATTTGTTCCACATGGCGAGGGGGGCTGGGGATTTTGATTGTGCAATCCCCCCGGAGAAAGGTCACCTGCCTCGCGGTGCACGAGGGCGCGCTCCTCTCCGCCTCCCGCGACGCCACGCTCCGGGCCTGGAGGTACGACGCCGCCTCCCGGGGCTTCCCGTGTGCGGCCCTCGGGTACCACCACGAGGGGGGGGGCAGGTCTCTTCGCGTTGCGCGCCCTCTCCCCCTCATCACCCTCCCCCTACCCCGCCTCCTCCTCCTCCTCCTCCTCCTCTTCCTCCTCCTCCTCCTAATCATCCTGCCTACCCCTCCTTCTCCTCCTCCTCCTCCTCCTCCTCTCCTCCCTCCTCTCCTCCCTCCTCCTCCTCCTCCTTCCTCCTCCTCCTCCTCCTCCTCCTCCTCCTCTCCTCCTTCTCCCCCCCCCACTCTCGTCCTCCCCTCCTCATCATCATCCTCCTCCTGCTCCTCCTCCTCCTCCCTCCTCCTCCTCCCTCCTCCTCCTCCTCCTCCCCCTCCTCCGCCTCCTCCTCCTTCTCCTCCTCGTCATCCTCCTCTGCCTCCCCCACTCCTCCCCCTTCTCCTCCTCCTCCTCCTCCTCCTCCTCCTCCTCCTCCTCCTCCTCCTCTCTTCTCTCCTCCTCCTCCCCCTCCTCCCTCCTCCTCCTCCTCCTCCTCCTCCTCTCCTCCTCCTCCTCTCCTCCTCCTCCTCCTTCCTCTCCTCCCTCCCTCCTCCTCATTCTCTTCCTCCTCCTATCCCAGCTCCTCCTCCTTCTCCTCCTCCTCCTGCTCCTTCTCCTCCTCCTCCTTCTCCTCCTCCTCCTCCTGCTCCTCCTCCTCCTCCTCCTGTTCCTTTTTTTCTCCTCTCCATCCCCCCTTCTCTTCCACCTCCTTCTCCTCCTCCTCCTCGTCCTCCTCCTCCTCCTCTGCCTCCTCCCTCCTCCTCCTCCTCCTCCTCCTCCTCTCCTCCTCCTCCTCCTCCTCCTCCTCCTCCTCCTCCTCCTCCTCCTCTCCTCCTCCTCTCCTCCTAAGTATCCTCCTCCTCCTGCCTCCAGCTCCTCCTCCTCCTGCCGCCGCCTCCTCCTCCTCCTCCTCCTCCTCCTCCTCCTCCTCCTCCTCCTCCTCCCGTAGCAGGCCCAATGCAGGCCTGGGCGGGTTGGGCTTTGTTTAACAAGCACACAGGGCGACGCCGAAACTGCACACGGGCGGCCGCAGCCCGCGCTCTCTGCACGTCGGCGGGCTGCATGTCTGAATAAGTCGCTTAAATCATGCGGTCTCTCTCTCTCTCTCTCTCTCTCCCTGCACGAACGGACGAACCAAACTCCTGGAGCAAGTCATTGCCTGATCTCCTCCGCATGCGCCACACCCATGCCCACAAGTACGTGCGACAACGCTCCCAATCGGAAGTGTGAGCGCTATTTGGGATGCTGTCGCGCATCTCGGGCCGTAGGCCGTCGCAACACCGGGTACCACTCTTCGGAAAAAGCAGCTTCGGTGCGCCCATTCGGGCGCACGGCGCGCACGCGGTCGGCCACGGCCCACTGCTCCTCATCGTGGGAGACGGTAACGTGCGACAGCTTCAAATGCTTACGATGAGCAGTAAACAGTTCTGCAGTGAAGCGGTGAGGGTTCTTACTCTTGTCGCTGTGCGCTGCGCGACTTCTCGGAACCACAGATTGGCATGCGCCTGCGCCGTCAGTGAAAAGAGTGAAATTGCAAGGGGCGAGGACCCAGGAAAGGATCTCGTCACATGCCTCATCGGCCTCCACCAGGCATCCGCGAGGCCACGTGAACTCATTTTGTTCTGCGTGGGCAACGCGAGCGCAAATGCCCCGCACTACGCTGGCAACGCGCTGAGCGGCATTCTCTGACATTCCCACCTGCACCGCCAGCTCGTCCGAGGACTCGTAGCCCGAAGCATGCTGGGTTGCCGCGTGGGCGATAGCCAGCAGCGTGCCGGCGGTACTCACGGGGCCTACTTTGAACAACTCTTTCAGAGGGCCTGTCGGGCCCAGGTTCGAGTCGCGCATCTGGCGCGCCCAATTGGACAAGCACCAAACGGGGTACTCCGTCTGAGGGATGCTGAAACCTGCGAAACCTCCTTGTCAGACTGGCTCTTTCCGAAGAAGCAGATCCAGGGTGCCGCATTTGCGCGCCTTGCACTCACCCCCCAGGTTTGGCAGCACGCCGATCTCGATCACGACGACGGCGGCGGTGGCCAAAAGGCAATTCTACGCCCCAGCTTGAGCCGACTTGCTACGGAATATACAACATACAACGCTGTTTACAAGCGAATGTTCTGCAATTGCGGAATTGATCAAACGCTAACGTGACCGCGGAAAACGAGCTCAAACTTTGACCCCCGACCTTATTGTTAATCTAGCAATGTTCGAACACCGCCCAGCCCCGCGCGCGGGCGCTGCTTCCCCACTCCCACGCGCAGAAATGAATTTTCGCGCTTGCCCCCGCTGGTGCCGGCGCGGCTGCGCATCGGCGGGGTTCTGCGCGAAACCCCTTCAGGCGCCGCCGCCTCGGGCGCTCAGCGCCCGCCGCCATTTGCGCGCCGCGGCGGCCGCGCCTTGGGCATGCGACGCCAGGACGCGCGGCCCGCGTCGCAAGCGCGGGCGCCGCCGTTGAAGACGATGAACCCACCGACGAACGCCGCGACCGCATCGCCCCCCCCTGTCACACCAGGAGGCGCGACGACCAACTACGACGGCACAAACGCATTCGCAGCAACCAACCGCGCACATCTGCGCGCAATGGCCTTCAAGAGCGCACAGCAGCCAGACCAGCGATTCGCCCGGGCGGCAATCGACCACTCCACCATGGGCCTGGACGCAGCCGACGGGGCCGTTGAGGTCGAACGCACCACAGGTGCCCAAATGGGTCTCACCTTGCGCCCCAGGCGGCCCAACGATGCGCGCGACCTATGCCTCGCCAAGTGGTGGGGGCAAGAACGCACCGACCCCGACCAGACCATCCACGACGCGGTCAACCCAGCAGCGGGCAACACGCACTACTTATCGCTTTGCACCTTCATGGGCGACATTACACACGTGCAGACCATGCCACAATAATCCACAGCACACGGTTTACAACGACAACTGAACGCCAGCACAGAACGTTTATCCCCAAAAATCATGGCAGGATGATGGGGGCTAAACCTTTGCAACACGAGCCGCCCCTTCTACCTCGTCGGCCAGGACTGCGACGAAAAAAAAGGGGGGGGAAACAAAAAAAATATAAAAAAGATGCACTACGACGCAGCATGGACTTCCACGGACAAGCCCTGCGCGAAATGCGGGCGCTGAGGCCTTATCTACCAACGGGCCAAGGCACAACGGGGGAGAGTGCTAGACGTACTGCTGCAGTCAGGGTAACATGGGGGCAGTGCGGCATCTTCTGGGCGTCGAAGATCCCGCGCCAGATTAGACGAATGACGTGCGTGCCCTTTGTAGTTGGCGCAGCGCTTAGCGGTCCAAGTGCCTTCATCCTCACCGAGACCCACGCCCAGGCGATCGGCAGCGCACTAGGGAAATACCTGCGCACGCTAGCGGGCGGAGCCATGTCGTGGACCAGGGCCGACGGAACAGTGCATGAGTAAATGCGACAGGTGTTCAAGTACTGGAGGCTAGAGCGCACGGCAATCGCATTATTAGTGCGCTGGTTGCGGTAGCGTCAGAATTGGCCACGCTACGCGTTGGAACACTGGGCAGTCATAGCGGCGGTCTTCGGCGCACTCAGACTAGACGCCTCTCTGGGCATGAGGAGATTAACATGCCAAAACTTTGCGCGCCCCACTCCGGCCCCATGGGCCCAGCAGTTCTCGGCGGGTACGCAGAAACGCGCGAAGGTTGATGACAGTATGGGATGACATGAGCATCGGGATTCCGATCTAGCGATCTTCGAACCAGGTAGCCCCGAACAGAAGCTGTGGCTCCAGGCAGACCCATCAGCATCGCACAGTCACGAGCGCAATTCGGACACACTAACGACGCGTGAAGACACAATGCGGGGGCAGGAGGGGCACGAGGAGGAGCTACTTAAACACTACTGGTGCGACTACACGACAACGGAAGACGACGGCACGGAACAAATGCGTGGACATATTTTCCCAACATGTGCTGCGTTAGCTGGGCATTGCCGAGATTTCCACAACATCGGACCAGTGGTGGCGTCAGTAATCGTGAATATCCAGTTCCCGCGATGCGCAAGTGCGCTCGTGAACAGAAAGGCGCGCATTGACCGCGCCACGCGCGCGGTGCACTGGCGCGGGGCATGCCGCCAAGATAGATCAATGTGGTCACGCCCTATCGCCGGGCCGCGTGCACTCACTTGCCTTATCTTTACCCATGGGGCTCAAACACTCGAGGCCCGCCACGCCCGCATTCGCGAACGCGCAGCAGGACACGAGCAGATCTGCCCATCAAAGGGAGAAGGAACACGCTGGCAGTGGGAGGCGACCGAGACCGGAGGTTCAGAGCAGCAGCCGGGCGCCCCCAGCAGACGGCAGCAGCGGGCCAGCCCCCACGCAGCGCGCCAACGTGGGCACATGCCCACAGGCGCAGCCGCAAGCCCAGCGCCGCGGCGGCGGAGGTCGCGGACCCGGCCACGGTTTCGGCGGAGGCGCGCAGGTGGAGATGAGGGGCCAGCTGAGGGCCTTGCAGTGGCTCACCTTGCAGGGCGCCGCCGGAACCCGTGACGCCCTGCACCTCGCGGGAGATATTGGGTTGACGCCGCTAGAGCCCGACTGGGCGCAGGCGCCAGTGGCGAGAGGCAAAGAATATGCACGGAAAGTGAAAGAGCTGGGCAGGGTACACGGTCTCGGGACCCCGCGCGGCCAAGTGGCGGCATCGCTCGTGGAGGAGATCGCGCAGATACTCGACACTAAGAGCGACCTCGACGCGCCGATGCAGTTTGTCAAGCATGCACTGAAAGAGTTCATGGCGCAGCTCGACCAGCCGTGGGGGCCCATGGTCATCGCGGAGGTCTTCCTGCAGTGCAGAATCCAGGAGGCGCGCAACAAGAACAGCGACGAGGATGTGGAGTTGGACACCAAGCAGCGCAAGGCGAAGCTCACCAGAGCGATCAACTCGCCGCCGAGCTTCCGCGCAGCGTTGCACGACCAGACGCTAGAAAAGACGCAGTACGGCACGCTCCTGGACTTCAAGGGGCATGTTCAAGCAGGCGCCAGGCCACGCGCTGGCGCGCCTAGGGGCCGCGAAGAGCCGCTCGGGAGGCCCGGGGACGGGCCTGGAGAGGGCGAGGGCGGTGGAGGCGCAGCTCAACAGGCGCGGGGCGTAGGGCAGCACCCCGCATTGCCCTGCAGCTCGCCTCGCCCAGGGCGAGAGAGCCCCGCGGGCCACTCACAGCAGGCCGCGCCAAGTCGAGGCGCGCCCAGCACAGGCGCCTTCAGTGCCTCGCAGGTCACTCGCCCAAGCGACATGGGCGGCCCACGTGCGCGGCCACCTGCGGGGCCGCCCGCAGTTGGAGAGGATGCCAGCTCAAGCGTCCCCAGTGCCTCGCCAGTCCCCAGCTCTAGTGGGCTGCCCGCGCGCATGGCCACTTTCCACGCCGCCAGTAATTCGAGAGGGAAATATTTCACAGCAGATCAGCACGGACCTCGCTCGCATGACCAGTCTCCAGCGGCCACCTCAACTACTGCGCGGGTCGTCGCCGCCCACCTCCCACCCCCGCCACCGCCCGCGCGACTCCCCCTCCCTCCTAGGCCTCGGCACGACACATACGTGCATCCGCGCCCTCGCCGACGCGCATGACCGACAGGCTCCAAATACTTCTGCTGGCTACGAGGATTCCAGAAGTTGCCTCCCAAAAATTCCGATGTGGACAGACAGGCAAGCTACGCCGTCACGGAACAAACATACATTGTGCCCCAACATACGCTTACATTCAGGACACGGGCTGCGCATGCGGCCCCTCGCCGCCCACTCCCACCTCCAGTTCGTATTGCCGCGGTCTCCTCCTCACTCCAACGACCCACAAGAAAGCGAGACAATTACGACGAGAGATAAGGTGCACAACGGGACGGGCGCGAGAGACATACTAAGGCCCCACTACGGTCCCAAGATCCGCAGCCATTTTCTCTTTTTTTCAGCGATCCATGCGACGTGACTGCCAGCCAGCTCATCTCAGAGATCAGGCGGGCAATGGAGGCCCCCCAATCGAGGGCCCCAAAGGCCCACGCGGCCTGGGCAGCGGCAGCGGCGCAGGACGCAGCGGCAGACGCGCAAGCGCACGCGCTGCATCCAACGGCAGCCGCAGACCTGCCTGAGCAGCAGCCAACCGTGATCCAGAAGGCGCACGACCGCGGAGGACACGGGGCACCCGACCAGTTCACTGGTTCAGTGGCATACCGACTGGAGGTAGGCCACCGCGGCCTCAGTCGACCAGTGACGTCTTCGAGGGGGTCGCGAAGAGCAGCGAGACCGCCCTCTACACTCTGCGCAGGCAACGCGAGAGGCTCACGACGACCTTGGGCAGGCCCAACATCGGCGAGTCGTTGAACCCGCACACGGAGATGGAACGCGGCCAGGTCGTGATCAGCATCAAGGAGCAGCCGACGGACATCCAGCAGACGATCGCTGCAGGAAGGAGCCTTCGCGCCACGGCCAGCGATCGCCGTGGGAGGATCATGCAGGGCCCGATGCCATGGGAGCTGGACTCCACCAAACGCCAGTTCGACGGGCTCGAGGGTGTGCACGCGCGCTGGAACACGAGCGAGCACGGGCACGGCTACGACGAGGACACCTACCAGGCCAGCACCGAGCAGCCGAGCACGCCAGTCGCCAAACAGCCCTTCGAGCCGAGCGCGAGGCCGCCATGTCCGAGCCCCAGCAAAAGCGCCCAGGGCTGGCGGCAGCCCGCGATTGCGATCGCCCAGCAGCAGCCGCAGCATCAGCAGCAGCAGCAGAGCCAGCAGAGCCCGCAGGCAGCACAGAGGGCGGGGGACATTCGCCTCACTTCGCCGAGAGCTGCGGCGACCGCGGGCTAGGAGCTCGGCATGATGTCGTGAACAGCAACCGCAGACAGCCCCCAAGGTTGGGGCATAAGTCTCACGTCGCAGAGGGCTACTGCGGATGCAGGGTGGGGGGGGGGGGCTCGGAGTGATCAGTGAGCAACCAGCGCCTTGCCATGTCATATTTCTTTTTTTCCAGAACGCCTAGAGGCGAATACAATTGTTTTTTGTAGCCGAAGGCAGCTGCGGCTGCAGGATGGCTGGCACGGCGCAAAGGTCGTGAGCAGCGACCGCAGACAGCCCACAGAGAGGGGGACGTCCGCCCCCACGATATAGAGGGCCGCTGCGGCTCCAGGCTTCTGCGGCAGCAGGGCGAGAGTTGGCATGGCGCGAGCAGCGAGCCACCAAGGCCACGCCATTCCATGTTGCAGTAGTTGTTCCTTGTCAGAGCGCCTAGAAGTGTTCACTTTCGCCTCGCGTCGCCAGAGGGGGGGGGGCTCGGCATGATGCAGCGAGCAGCGACCGCAGGCAGCCCATAGAGGTGCGGACATTCGCCTCACGCTGCCGAGGGCTGTTGCGGCTGCAAGGCAGGGGCGGGGTGGGCGGGGCAGGGTGGTCTTTCTTTTCTTCTGTCGTCCTGCCTGGCGGTGTTGGTGACGCGCAGCCAACCGTGGAACTCGGGCCGAGGGGTTCCGCCAGGCAGGCGAAGTCGGACTGGTCCAGCCAGTCCACCTCGACCGTCGCCCCGACCTTCCCCCCCTTCTCCTCTGCCCTCGGGGCGGAGGAGTGGCTCGGCTTGTCTCTAGGGTTACTCGTGAGCAGCGTGCCAGAAGGCCTGGCCATTCCATAGTTCCCATTCCATATCAGAGCGTCTCGAGCTTTTAAGGTGTATCAAACCAGCCGACAGACAGGACACAGCCGTGAGAGCACTCCATCCAGGCTCAGCCAGCGAGGCGAGACACAACACCGAAGCGGCATCCTCACAAGTCGGGGACACTGATCGCGCCCCCGCCCCCCCCCCCCCCCCCGACCCAGCAGCGGAAAAGAGCGGGGGCGGGGCAAGGCCGCTCGTTTTTTTCGTCCTCTTTCTAATTGTGGGCGCGGGCGGAGGGGAGCACGGGGAGGGGGCGGGCGGGCTCTCAGCAGCGGGGGGTGCGCCCACAGGGTGGGCAGCTCCCCGTCGCTTGCTTAGGGCTCCTTTTCTTTTCCAAGGCAGTGTCGCCCTGCTAGCGGCGCGCTGGACCCACCAGGACAGCCTGGGGGCCAGGCGCGCCAGGCGGCCTTCGAGCCATGCGGTCTTAGGGCTCGCATCCACATCCCACCCAGGGGTCGGCATGCTTTTTCTTCGGTAGGCGCTGACGGTTAGACGCTCAAGGGCCTTATCCTTATCCTCTTCCTCCCCCTTCCCCTCCCCCTCCTACTCTTTAGCCTCCTCTTTCTCCTCCCCCATCCTACTTTTTAGCCTCCGCCTTCTTCCGCTTGAAAACAGCGCGGAACAGAAACACATCAGAAACAATTCCATGACCATTCGCCAATTTCTATTAGAACATACTTGTGTTTTGCGTGTTTTCCTTAGTTGTGAGAAGCATGTTCGGTATCGCTCGGCCTCCACATAATGATCTTCCTATTGAACTGCCCAGGCTTGCATCGGGCCTGTCGCCCCTCCTCCTCCTCCTCCTCCTCCTCCTCCTCCTCCTCCTCCTCCTCCCCTTCCTCCTGTTTCTCCTCCTCATCCTCCTCCTCCTCCTCTTCCTCCTCCTCGGGAGGTGTTTTTATGTGTTGTTCACAGTTTTTATTAGTATCCCAATTATTAGTTATTTATTTGTTTATGCATTATTATTATTATTATTACTACTACTACTAGTTTTCGTATTACTAGTACTATTATCATCATTATTATTACTATTCTTATTAGTATTATTCGTATTATTATTACTATGTATTATTAGTAGTATTATTTTTAGTATCATTATTATTATTGTTATTGCTATTATTGGTCGTATTATTGTTATTTTTGTTATTGCTATCATTATTATTATTAGTATTAGTATTATTATTATTATTATTATTATTGATATTATTATTACTATTATTATTATTAATAATAATATTATCGGCTTCCAGGGGCACTCGCCGGGCCTCGCGACTGTCAAGAAGCGACTCAGGATGAGAAGCTGGTCCCAGGGATGAGAAATTGGTCCCAGGGAAGGGGTCCAGATATTTTCGGCCTCCGGGAGCCCTCGCTGGGCCTCGGGACTGTCAACAAAAACGGTCCTGGATGGAAAACCGGTCCGGGGGTAGGAGCTTCCAGGGACCCCGCATTGAACCAATCACGGTGTCGGGGCCCATTCCCTTCCCCCCCAGACCCGGGTCTGGGAGGGAAGGGAATGGGGAGATGAGTGGGTGGCCGGGATGTTAACAAGATTGAGAGGGAGGGTGGGGAGAGGGAGGGGGGGGAGAGATGGGCGAGCGAGAGGGGGGAGCGGGGAGGTGCTGGCGCAAGGTTGGTCCGGCGCTGGTCCAGGGCTGCACGTGTGGGGAAGTTGGCCGGGCCTATGGGCGACCTACGTGGGCTGATCGCTCTTGATCGCAGGCGCCGCCGCGTCTCTCCTGCAGCCCCGCGCCCAGACACCCGACGCCCCGACTCTCGCCGTGCCATGCGGCCTCAGAGCTTCTGGCCCCCTCTTCCGCTTTTTGGACTTCACGCCCCAGACCCCCAACGCATTGAACAAATCGTGGCGGAGGCTTTCCTAGACTTTCGGCCTCTCTATAGGGGCCCTCGCCGGGCCCCGGGACCGTCAAACAACGACTCAGGACGAAAAGCCGGTCCTGGGGATGGGGTCGAGACGTCGGGGGACACCGCGCGTTGACAAAAAACACGACGTCGGGCCTCTGGGACCCTGGGGGGCCGCAGGACCTCGGCACGCGCCCCTGCAGGGGGCCCACAGGCTCGATACGCGCACCGGCCGCCTCGACGGCCCTCGGCCTCGGGGCTCAAGCAGAGACGGGGGTCAATGCAAACGGGGGTCAGCCAGGGCACCACGGATCTTGCAGGCTCCTGCGAAGAGCCCCTCTGGCTGGCCCGGGCTCGCGAGCCGCTCGTGGCCGCGAGGCGGCCGCGCCTAGATGGGCCGACCCGGGTGTGCGAAGACCTGCATGCAGTTGTTTGGTTTTTCCCTGCATGGCAGTTTTTTGGCTTCCTGCTGACCCGGGTCTGGATGGACCCGGGTCAGAAGATCCCCGAAAATGCGCTATGAGGTTCCAACTTGTTTTTGCCCTTGATCACCCGAGAGAACTTCGAGCACCAAGGAACGCATCGGAATTGGAGGGTGCTCACGTGTCGGGCTTGGGAGGCGATGCTCGTTCGACACGGTTTCGATACAGTGGAGACCCATGCCAAGAAACACCCTGCTGGCCTCCAGGGCGCCCTGGGTTTATTGGGTTTCGATGGTTCCGCGATGGAAGGCGTGGCGCTCCCACACCAGAAATCGATGGACGCCCTGGGGCCTCAGGGTTGGACTTCTGGTGGACGGCTTCTTGTGGAGGGGCCCCTGCTGTACTTCTCTGGTCGCCCACCAGACCACCCCAACCCAACCCGAAGGCTCAGATTTACCTTCGATTTCCAGTGGGGGGGGTCGGGAAACATCGAGAAAACACCTGTGGAACCCTGACCCCCCCAACCCGAAATTCAGGTCTTCGGGTTGGATTGGGGTGGTCTGGTAGGTAGTCAGAAAGTACTTGTGGGTGTCGACCCCGGCCAGAAGAGCCCCGACGGCCCTCGGCCGCCGCCGGCGGCGGCGAGGCCAGGCGCCGCCTCCCCCCGCGCGGCCAATAGAGCGCGGCGAGCGCCCCGCCCGGCGGCCGGAGACCTCTCGGGGCTGCCGGCCAGCGGCCCCCTCCCCGAGGGCTCTATGGGAGGCCCCGCTGGGGGGCCACATGCGAACCCCCCAGACCCCCTCGGGTTATGAAAAGATCACGACGCGAGGTTTTTCATGATTTTCGGCCCCTGGGGGCCCTTACCGGCCCTCGGGACCGTCAAAAAACGACTCAGGACGAAACACCGGTCCCGGGGAATGGGTCCGGACCTCTGGGGGTCGACGTCATGAAAAATTCATGACGTCGGGGGTCTGGGCCCCACGATTTCTGAGGGGGAGGGTGGGGTTCACGGCGTTGGGGAGCTCCCGAGCGAAGTGAACCCCACCCTCCCCCTCAGAAATCGTGGGGCGTAGGGGTAGGGTTCGCATGCGGCCCCCTGCCCGCGCGCTCGGGGCGACCGATCGATCGCGCGCCCGAAGCGCCGCGGGGGGCGCGCCGGCCTGCGGGCGCCTGCGAGGTGCCGCCGTGGTGCAGATGCGGGCAGGCCTGGCGGCACCCCGCCCCGCCCCCACGCCCCCTCCCCTGTAGAGGGCCTCCGAGCTAGGGCGGGCCCGCGGGCTCGGCCTCGGTGCCGGTGCCCACGCGCGAGGAGTCGGCCGGGGGTGAGCTGTGCGGTGCCGCCATAGGCCGTCTCGGGGGTGCCCCGCGGCGCGGGGGTTGCAGGGCCGCTTCGTGCTGCGTCTCGCCGTCGTGTGCGCCACGATGCTCTCCTCCGCCTCCCTGCTTCCTCTCCTCCTATTTTTTCTCCTCCTCCTCCTCCACCTCTGTAACTGCTCAGTGCGCGTGTGTTTTCTTACATATATATATATATACATATATATATATATATGAACACACACACATATATATATATATATATATGTGTAGGTCTCCCAAAGCTGTCTTTGTTTGCCGCCGCTGGTCCCGCACTCGCTGATTATTATCGAGTGCCCAAATGTGACTTACGATTACCTTTCCCGTCAGAACGTTTTCGATCCCGCGAAAGTTGCGTTCGGGCGTTAGCGTTGATCACAGTGAAGAATTTCCATAGAACCTCGGTCCAACGGAGCGTGACTCTCGCCGCATCGTTGGCCGCACCCTTGCATCAGCAACGATTGTGCTCTTGTTGATGCGTGTGCCACGTTGCAGGATGGTCTTAGAATTTTTTCCCCAATGGAACGGCGCTTTCTCTGCTGTGTTGGCTGCACGCTTGCATCAGCAACAATTTAGCTCTCGTTGTAGCGATTGGCACATGTAGCAAGGTCCTTTGCGTTTTTCATGTCCTTCCTCCGTCCGACGTCCTGCAGTCCGTCAAGGCTCCTATTCCCTCCTCCGCCCCTCCGCCTACTTCACGCCCCTCCCAGTTTCTCTCCGCCTCCTGCAAGACCCTCCCATGTCTTGGTATCTGGGGCTCTCTTGGACAGAGTTGCGCTTTCGGGATCCATGCCCTCTTCGAAATTCGATTCGGCGAACAGGGGGGACTCGACCCCATGGTAAGGGATGGGAGGGAGGGGTCTCATTTCGGATACAGCGCGAGCGCCCCGACCTTGCCCTTGCCTCCCCCCACCTCCCTTTACCTACCACCCCCCCCGACCACCACCACCCTTCGCACAAGGACCTGCCTGCAGTGAGCGCGCAAGGACATACTAGTACTATGTGTCCTCCTCGGCGGCGTGCGTCCGACCCGAACAAATGGTGCAACCATCTTGTAGCCACGACGCATATACTACAAGACCTCTCGGTGCGCGCGTCGCCCCTTGGGGGGGGGGGGGGGGGGGCGACGCACACATAGTATCAGTATGTTGGGGTAGCGCCGATGCAGGTCCACGAGGGCAGTTGCCGGCGTGGGGCCAGCTGCGCCAGAGGCAATCTGGAGGAATCGACAACGCGTGAGGATGAGATCTGTCCCAGATGTGTTGCGCATTGAGGGGGGAGGGTCCCTGGGGTCGATCGGAGGCTATTCTTGTTAATGTTTTCTCGCATGCGGTTTCTCGCCCCCAATCGCCGAGCTCCCCCCGACAAGAATTGGCCCGCATGCCACCTGTTATTTGATGATTGTTTTGGGATGTTCTGGTAGGTTTTCTGAGGTTTCAAGGGCCCCCTCTCGATGAAGTCCTCGGACGAGGAAACTTTCAAATCCTTCGAGAAATATTCGGCATTCGCAGCAAAAGCCTCACGCTGCACATTTGCTCCTCAAGCGCCTGCGATGACTCTTTGAGGAGGGCCGTGGATTCCTGCGGGTGAGGTGTCGTCATTACGGGTCCACCTCGGAGGGTTGTGGGTCGGCGCCGCGAAGGGCATCAGCTGCATCAGCCTGGAGACGATGCAGCCAGGATAGCGCTGGTTGCTTTGCATCGTACGGGGCGACATTGGGGCATGGGGGATCATCTCAGCACAGGTGCGAGTGCCATGCCGACCCTTGAATCGCGCATGCAAGACATGCCGTTGGCCGAGGAGGAGGAGGAGGCTTGTCCTGCGGGCGATCTCTCCAGCGTGGTCCGCGCCGTTGGATCGTGCTCCGCGCTCCATGTCCGCACTCGCCAGCGTGTCCGCCGCCGGGGCCGCCCTCCTCTCCATCGCGGAAACGAGGGCGGCTCGACACCATCTGTAGACATTGCCCTCGTCAATACCAGCACCGATCGTGCCGATACCACCCTCCAGGCACAGCAAGAGAAAGGCAGCGCTCCAAGGACAGATTCGCAGAGCTAATGGGACAGATTCGGGAAGGTGCCGAAGGTCCACCGGGCAGGGAGGTTGCTGATGCCCAAGACTTGTTTCAGAAATGGTGACCCCCGCAGCCCCGTCCCCAGGTCCCGAATTCAAGGCAATCCGCCTCCGCGTAATTGTTTCGGACTTGGTCCTCCCTGGAAAGTACCCGGCTGGCAGCACATTATTCAAAGGATGTACGTTCGCTCGGTCGGCGACCAGCGAGCGCTCGTCTGAAGGAAATGTTGTTGCTTCGCGCGTGCGTGCGAGGTGGTATTCGGTGCCAGATGCTTTCCGTTCATCTTGCCTCTCGCGCGGCTCGCGCGGTGTGCGTGTGTGTGTGTGTGTGTGTGTGTGTGTGTGTGTGTGTGTGTGTGTGTGTGTGTGTGTGTGTGTGTGTGTGTGTGTGTGTGTGTGTGTGTGTGTGTGCGTGCGTGCGTGCGTGCGTGCGTGCGTGCGTGCGTGCGTGCGTGTGTGTGTGTGTGCGTGCGTGTGCGTGTGCGTGTGCGTGTGCGTATGCGTCTGCGTCTGCGTCTGCGTCTGCGTGCGTGGTGTGTGTGTGTGTGTGTGTGTCTGTGTGTGTGTCTGTGTGTGTGTGTGTGTGTCTGTGTGTGTGTGTGTGTGTCTGTGTGGGTGTGTCTGTGTGTGTGTCTGTGTGTGTGTGTGTCTGTGTGTGTGTGTCTTTCAGTACCCCCCCCCCCCGCCCCTTCCTCGTTCCCTTGTTCTCAATTCGGCTCCGATGCGTCCCTCGGCTGTCTCGAGCACCTCTTGCGCTCGAGTTGCCGCTGACAAAACACAACACCCGGATGACCCGCTTCGCTGCCGCGTCGGCGCGTGCCTCTCCTCCAGGCAGGACGCGGGCCATGAAGGGGCGCCGCGCGTGGCAGCCCCAGCCCCTCACGCACAGCGGTGCCCCGCACGGGATGGAGCAGGGCCGACGCGCGCGCGGCGGCCACGCGGCCATGGGGAACAATTCGGCGGCGAGCGAAGGGGGGGGAGAAGGAGCAGGCCCTCTCAGACGGCGGCGGGACTTCTCGGAACCCCATCGCGCCCTCCGAGGAGTTGTCTGTGTCGCCGGGGAGGGCATCGAAGACGTCCCGGAAGGCTGGGAGACATCCGAGCTTTCTGAGGAGGCCCGCCCCTTCTCACTCCCCCCCTCGGGCTCGCCGCCGAACCATGGCGCGCGGCCCCTTCCTCGAAGTTCCAGCCCGTCGGGGCCCGCAGCGGTGTTCACCGACGCTGGCGACCGCAACGCGTGCCGCGGAGTGGGAGACGAGTCTCCCGCTCAAGCGTTGCTGCTGTCCCTGGCCATTCTGCCACGGCGCGCACACGAACCGAAGGGCGCGGCGTCAAGTGTGCCCACGGGCAGCACTGCGGCGAGGCAAATAGCCTCGGAGCTCGGAACCCGCCCGCCCGCCTTGAGAAAACCGAGCGGTGACAGTTGCAGCGTTCGTGTTGTACTGAGACGATTTGTTGAAATAAGAAACGGAGCAACTTCACACCGATCGCAGAACAAGTTGTTATTTGTGTTCGTACTGGTCGACACATTATGGTTGATGAGAGCCCGTGTACGACCCCGTGGTGGATGCAACGTGGCAAGATCCTACGGGGCAAAAAGGGTCGCACGTTTCCAGCGATGGTCACACTTTAGGGACGGCGGCCTATTCGTCGCCTTCTTCGTCGTCAACGTCAGCGTCGTAGCCACAATCGTCGTTGCCGTCGCTCGTCGCCGCCGACTTCGCCTTCGCTTTCGTCGGTCGTCGTCGCCGATGTCAGAGTCATCGCCTTCTTCGCTGCCGTCGCTATCGCTGTCTTTGTCGACGCCGTCGTCGTCGTCGTCGCCGTTACGTCGTCGTTGCCGTCCACGTCGTCGTCTACTGCGCTGGCAACGAGGAAGGGGAATCGGGAGGTTGAAAAGTCAACGTGTCAAGTTCGACCGTGAGTCAAGCAAAGGGGCTCCACGAGAAACGTCTTACTTATCGTAGTCACCTGGCTGCACCGGACATGACATGCCGCCGCCGTGGCCGACAGCTGTTACATTTACCGTGTGAGGTGGAAACCATATGTACAGTCGTAAACACCACATGGACAATACCGTAGATCTATATCGCGACACCGCCAGGTCAAAACAATCAATCCAATCGGGACCCCGTCCGGCAGGTGATGGGGCGAGTATCGGAGTCACCAGCAGCGTCGCGCAGACAGTTGCCCCTTGCGGTACGATCGGGGGAAGTTTTTTTTGGTGCAGGATGGGCAGCGTGAGCCGGTGAAGTAAATCACGTCGCGCAGGGCGAAGGACGAAGTTCGCTGATGTACGGCAGGTTCGTGCCGCGCTGACGCGGCGGCGGCCCCGGCGCAGGTCAGCGTTGAACGCCGCGGGCGTCCGAGGTTCAACGTCGGTCCGATTTCGAACGATCTGCGTCCTCGGGAGGTCCTCCTCCTCCTCCTCCTCCTCCGCGCTCCTCGCGGCGGAGCGCTTGCATTGCCAGGCGCGCGCGGGGGCGCCCGGCCCACATCGGGCACCGCCCGGCCTCCCCGGCGGCTTGTTTTTTGGGGGCATGGGCCAGGAGCCTCACATCGCCCTGGATGGCCCGCTGACCCGGCTCCTGCAGTGGGCCTACCCGAGCATGCGGATGACGCCCCTGGAGCGGCAAGCGCGCACGCCCCTGGCGAGGCTGGGGAAGACGTTCGGCCCCGGGCTGCAGAAGCTCATCAGGTTCAACGGCAGGCTGCACTCGGAGGAGTCCAAGGACTACGCCAGAAGTTTCACGCCGAGGCCCTCTGACGTGTTCATAGTGACCTACGCCAAGAGTGGAACCACGTGGCTTTCGTGCGTCGCCCACCACATCAGGTCGAACTGCAGCATGGACTTCGACGAGATCTCTGTGGTGGTGCCCTGGGACATCGCTGCGCAGGAGTGCGGCCAGGACCTGGACGCCGAGCAGGGCTTCTCGCCGCGCCTCTTCAAGTCACACAGCCTCTCGGAGCAGATCGCGAGGGGAGGCCGGTATGTGTTCCTGGTCAGAGAGCCGCGCGCGGTGCTGGTGTCTATGTGGCGCTTCTTCTGCATGGGGGCGTGGCCCACTTACGCCGGCTTCCGGGAGGGCGAGGTGACTTTGCGGGCCTTCGCGGCCGGGGTCTTCGCCTCCGCCCTCAACAGCGGGGTCTGGGGGCAGATCGTGTCGTGGTACCGGTGCTGCTGGGCGGATCGCGGGACGCTGTGGCTCACGTACGAGGACCTGTCGGAGCGCCCAGCGCGGTCGATCCAGCAGTTGGCGGAGTTCCTCCTGCCAGACTTGCAGGACGTGCTGAGCAGGGACCCCGCGCTGCTGGAGAGGGTACAGGCCTCCACCACCAAGGAGGCCATGCTCCAGCACAAGGAGCAGTTCGACGATCACTTCGTCCTCTCGTGTCTCGAGCCCTTCAGGCATGGCGACATGTTGAACCGTAGGCCGTACGTGAACAAGGTGCAGCCCCCGCTCGCCGGTGCTCCCGGGGGCATCAGGCCCGACGGGGAGATCGCCGCGCTGCTGGATGGCCGGTGGGCCCACTCCGTGGAGCCCGCCACCGGCTTCCGGACCTACGCCGAGCTCCGGGCCGCGATCGGCGGCAGGGCGAACTGGACGGCGGAGGACTTCGCCGCGGCCAGCGTGGAGGTGGAGGCTCGGCGGCAGAGCCCAGAGTCCCAGGGGCACCCCCGTCTCGCGGTGGCCGTGCTGGCGCTGGCGCTGGTGGGGCTGCTGGCGCTCGGGCGGCGGCGGCGCTGGGGCCCCTGGGCCGTGGACCTGGTGCAGCGGGCGCTGCACCGCTGGCGGGCGAGTGGCCCCGTCCTGCCGCGTGCGGCCGCCGCGGGCAAGGCGGCCAAGGCGGGCTCGGGCCGCCCCGCGGGGCTGCGGCGCCGCCGCGGCGAGGGCGAGGGCGAGGAGGAGTGCGCGGACGGCGAGCTGCAGGAGAAGGCGAAGGGGTGGCACGCCCCCAGCAGGGCCGCCATCGCCCTGGGCCTGGGCCTGGCGCTGGTGCTGGCGATCGCGCTGGCCTTCTGGGGGCTCACGGCCCAGCGGGCCGAGGCGGCGAGGAGCGTGAAGGCGGCGCGGGCGCTGTGCCAGCACTGGCACCCCGAGGAGTGCCGGGCGCCGTTGGCCGAGCTGGTGGAGGGGGACAGGGCCGCGCTGGTGGTGTCGTGCTTCAACGAGGACCTCAGGTGGCTGGAAGCCGCGCCGCGGGGAAGGGGCAGCGCATGGGTCTACATGCACAACCACACCGGCCAGCAGGCACACCTCAGCGCGTTCTGGTCCGGCGGGAGGGGGGGCGGCCCGCGGGTCTCGGAGAGCGACGCGGCCGCGCTGCGGGCCGAGCTGGAGGACGCAGGGGCCGCTCGCTTCGTGGACATCCCCAACGTCGGGGACGAGGCCACCGCGTACCTGCGGTTCCTGGTCGACCACTACGACGCGCTGCCCGAGGCGGTGGTCTTCTCGCACGGGCACCAGTCCTCCCAGAAGCACGCCCGCTTCGACATGGCCGAGCTGCTGCGGTGCCTCTGCACCGACGCCGAGCCGGGCGGGGCCGCGCGGGTGTACCGCAGCCTGAACTCGGGCATCTCCGCGGAGCCGATGTGCTTCCGCGTGGAGGGC